TCAGGCTTAAATTCTAGTGGAAGAATACACATATAATCATAAATTCTGAGGAAACAAGAAGCCTAGATAGAAAATATAATTCATCACTAGACTACAAATGATGATCTAGATGGAAAATAAAATGAATGTGATCATATGATAAAACTAAAATCTAAATGGTGATTCGAAACTAGTTGGATGGAGTAATGACAACTGAAAAGAGAATTCAAAACAATGGGGTTAAATGACTCATCAAAATCAGGAGAGAACTCAGCTTGTTCTAGGAGCTGAAATTTTACCTGAGGGGTGGAGCACAGTGTTTGTGGGATGAGGGATGGAAGGAGAGAGGGAGTGGCATGAGATGAAGTTGCATAAATAGGTTGTGATTATTCAGGATTTTTTGGCTCAGTGGAAGTTTCCTAGTAATGGCAAGCAACTTAAGGATTTTAAGCAGAATAATTAATATTAAATCTTCTTTTGAGATCACTTTTATCACTTTCTGATGATAGAAATGAAGGAAAATTTAGATTTTCTGTCCTAAATTAGACTGGACATATCTTAACAGAAATGTCAACCTACTTCAAAAGTAGGTTTAAGAGGAAATTTTCTCAGAAAAATAAACCAAAAAATACCTTGTAATATTTTAATAATATCACATCAATGTAATGTTTATAAAACATAATTTAATAGTGAAATATCTGCTAAAATTTTAAGATTTATGTATACTAAGAAAAGGTAACAATAAATTAATACCTTCCAATCTTTTAAATTATTTCACTTTAATTGAGTTTCATAGATGCTAAAGCCACTAAGAAAAACTTAAACTATAAAAATATTAATGGAATGTGGAAACAAGTAAGTAAAGCCTTATGGTTTATTTGACTCTGTTGATTTGGAAAACACAAGATGCATTGCTGGGATAATGCAGACAGTTTCAGTCTAAAGATAATATAACAGTAGGCTAATTAGACTTTAAACCCCAGTAGGTTGAATTGTTTTCTTGTGAGAAGCTCCCAGAAGCAATTGGTCTCTCTGTATGGGTAGAATACGGGTGAAACCTACTTTCCCTAGTGAACACGTCAGTGACCACTAACATTAGTATAGATGGATGCACTCCAGGGCAGAGATGGAAGGCCAGAAGTACAATAGCTTCAGGAAGTGACCCCCATCTCTCGCCTCCAGAGTCTCTGAATACTTACCGGCACAGTAAGCTTTTCACAGTTATTCACAATAATGATGAAAAGCAGCAGAGGAAATAAAAAGTCAAAACACAAAATCTCTTGCATTATGAGGGGCAAAATGTCAGCTGGTCTCTATATAGAGTAGAAGTATTATTTCTAAAAGAGCCCTCTGTGTAAACATAATCCAAAAATATAACATCAAAATCCCTAAAACAGCAAGCCCTCTTATAATAAATTTTTCCAAGGTAAATTGCTGGCATAATAAAAATTACTTGTCTCCCATGCATGAAGTCCTCCCATGCATGTGTTCGATCCCCAGCACTGTGCATGAGCACAGTGCACATACTCACATGCACAAGTCATCCACAAAAGGATTCTAAATATTCTTTCATTTGAATAATTATCTCATAACTATCAGTTGGCTGTGAAAGCACAGTAATTGACCAGTGTCATTTCCATTAAATAAATAAAATGTAAAATTGTAATAAATATATAATCTCTAATAGAAATTGTAAAGACCTATATTTAATCTTGAAATCAACTATGTATGTGTGGTTCACATAAGACTGAGAGCATGCCCTCAATACATAAGATCTCTGCAAAAAAATTTTTTTGAAGTACCTATTTATATCTTCCCTTGTCTGGTTGCTTACATTTTGTAGTAAAAACAAAAACAAGATTTTTTTTTTTCACTAAATTCTCTAGCTTCCCCTCAGTTATTTGTTACAGTATCAATATTTTGGGGCTCTTCTTTACTCCCTGAGGGTTTCTAACATCATCCTCTCCAGAGAAAGAAGGGAAATACAGTGTCTCTGCCCTACTTACACCGGAGGTTGAAGAAAACTACCTGCCAGACACAGCAATAGCACTCTTGGGCTCTGGTGGGTGAAAGAGGCACTAACTAGCTCTCTGGGAGTCTCAGCAGGAGCACAGCCCTGCCCCTAGAGGGAAGTGGAAAGGAACCAGCCTTAGAAGTCTTCCTGAGAAGGGAAACTGGAACATTAGCAAAAGTATTAAGTCATGACATGACCTAGAGTGCAGGGTCATGCTACACTTTGCTTGTGGGGGTGAGCAATAAGCATACTCAGCAAACTTCCCTGGTCATCCAGAGGCTGATGAAAGTGTCAAGGAAAAAATAGTCTAGAAATCTTTATTTTCAAAATCTACCCCCCCCCCATGGAAATCTATTCTTGTGTGTCACTCAGTTGCTAAATAATTAAGTTTAGCATTTTAGGAATTACGGCAATTCCTCTTCCTTCAAGCATTTTCTTTAGGGAAAGACTGAGGTGAACAAATCATGACCACAAATTTGGAGTATCTGCTGAATATTATTCACACATTGCTTTTCCTACAGAAAAAAATTACTGCTCCAATTTTATCTTTCAGACTTTTGCTTTGTTTGCTAAATTATGCTGACATGTCAAAGTTTATGCTGGTATTGAAATCATACAAAAACAATAAAATAATAACAATATGTAAATGTCTTCTGAATGCAAATAAGCATATGATTACTTCTGCTGTTTTAGAAAACCAGTGTATGTTGTAATTATGAATTTTAGATTTTATTTTTCAGATATCTTATACTTTTAAAAACCTAAATAATAATGAATATTTATGTCTGCCATTTTCTTTTTTTCCATTTACACAAGGGAAAATCAAATATTCTATACTACTCTACATTGGAGTTTATTTAGTGTATTAGCTCACTTTTTAGTGATTTTCTATTTCTTTGAAATACATCACAAGATGTCAAATTCTTCCTGTGTTCAGCAACAATGTTTATTTTTAGAGATATTTTTTTCTCTCAAGACCTTCTTGGAAAAATGTGAGAGAATCTCTTTACTTCATTCATTCAAAGGAATTTGGCACATTATTCTAATTCCTGAAAGATGGCCTTATGTTTGTATCTAGTAAGTAGGAAAAAAAGTTTTATTGTTTGATATATGCTATCACTTTAAAAGTGTTGTGCTTTTCACATTGCTGAAGAAATAAAATTATCACATATAATCATTCAAAGGAGTGTAAAATTAAATAAACAAAGCTTAGCATTTTATTTGCATGTTACTGTTGAATGTCACATATTTCTGAAAATAAACCACTTTCGTTTTTGTTTTTAATACTGAAGTATGTTTCCATTTTAAAAAAAAAAATGTAATATGAGTTGCAAGATCTTTCTATGGGGAATTAAAGAAAAGACAGTATTCTACTCTTGATTCCAAGCTTTGAAATTCTAAATAGCATGACAATCTAATTTGTCTTAAATCAAGGTCATTTATAGGTTTGCTGCTTTAAGTATCTTCCTAATCGAGGAAACATGTTTGATTATTTAGTAGGTCCTTTCAGTATGAATATTCTCTCAACCAAACTCTTTGTGATCTATGGACCACAGATGTCATTAGCTTTTATAAATTTTCCTTTAAACTTTGCAGTGTATTTTGCAAATAAGTACCTTAAAATTGAACCTTTTGTAAAATACATTTGCTCTATGTATAAATGACTGAGGCTACTGATTTCTGGGACGGATAAATATCTCAGGGAACGCAAAGACAGTCGTTTTAAGGCTTTGTTTGGCGGGACTATGGGTTTTCCAAACAGCTAATGTCATTCAGAACTATGGACAGCTCCCATTAAAGCATACTGTTGATTGCAATTTCCCTTAGTTTCTAAACAGGATTCAAAATAATGCTGCATTTTATGCTATATTTGTTTGCTGTTTAATAGAAGTCTATTAAAACTGCTCGGTATGCTTTCAAACTCCTTTAGTTGATTCATTTCTCTTTTTCAAAAGAGTTCAGTTAAATAAATAAATAAATACCATCCAGAGTTACTACTTTTTGATTTTCAAAAGGAAAGCCCTGCCCTGTTCAGGAGCTAATATAACGTGACAGCACGATATGTGTACGCTAATAGGATCTTCTTCACGACCTTCATTTGACAATCTATAAACATGCTTGTAACCGAATGAATATTTGGGCAATGAATGAGATCAGGAAACGTCTTAATTTTCATACTCCGAAGCAGAGTTCTCCTGCTAACAGCTCTGTTGCCCTTCCTCCCGAGCTGGGAAACAAGAAAGAGATTTCTGAAATAGACTCATTGTCAAGGTCAAGAAAGGGTGTAGCTCTATTTCAGGAAGGGGGCTCTGGAAACGCCCCCTGTCTCTGTTTCAGGAACTCCAGGCTTCCTGTCAGCTCCTGCCCAGCCTGGCAGTTCCCACTCCACTGAAACGTCAAGTCAGCGCCTATCCAAGCGCAAATTACCCTTCCTCCGCCTGCCAGCCACTATTCTGAAGAAATGCGATGAGGATACCCGGTGCGAATAAGCATAAGAACAACAGATTAACACTCCTCAGGGGCGAGAGGTCCCCAAGGACCTGTGAGTTACCGTCTCCAGCTATCCCACCCTCCCCTGAACCCTAGAGCAGCATTTCTCCTTTTGGGGAAGGACGGATATCTTGAGGGAGAGGCACTAGGAAGGGTGTCTGCCCTCTTCCTCCCATCACTGAAGTAAAAGTTTCCTTGGTACAACTTAGCATCCTTCCTTCTCGGGATCACCATGGCCTTCACCATTCCAAGATCTGTCCCCAAAGTTCACAAAACAGAGAACAGTTTCCCCGGGGCTTGGTGGCAACAGGATCTCACCATTCAAACCCCTACTGGGTGGAAACTAGTTGGAGAAGAGTAGAGCCTTGTCTGCCCAAGTAGCAGCCGCCAGGGCTACTCACCTCCTGCCCAACACCCCCAGACTTTGAGTCCCTGGGGTGCCCCCTCCCAAGAACAGAGAAGGGTGTTGGAGAGCGCGCCTGGAAAGGAGGGTGGGGCGGCGACTGGGAGCCCTCACCTGAAATCACTGTAAGGGTGGATAATCCAGAAGCCTGCAGTTTTAACCCTTTCCTGCTCCTTCTCCACCGCCTTCTGGCTGCCAAACATTCGGAGGGAGAATTTGTTGACCCCAGGCTGCAGCATGGAGGTGAACTGCCTCTGCATGAAGCCATACTGCCGACGAGGTCCCTCGGCGTCCTCGAAGCTCCCCGCCGGCTCCTCGCCGCCGCCGCCGCCGCCGTCCACCTTGAAGCACACGGAGTTGCCGTGCTCCTTCGAGCCGGCCCCTCCACCCCCAGGCGGGGTGGCCAGGCGCTTGTCGGCCGCGGCCGGCCCCGCGCCCGTCGCGGGCGCCTTGGAGGGGAAGACGCTGTTGCCATCGTCCCGGCTGTTAGACGAGGAGTTGGGCTTGCCGCCTCCTTCCATGCCCGGAGGACGCGGCAGGAGACTGCGCGGACTCCAGACTCGCCGGCCGCCCGGCGCCCGAGGCACGAAGCCGAGGGGCAGGGGCCCAAGCCGGCTGCCGGTAAACTCGGCTGCCCGTCGCGGCGGCGGCGGCGGCGGCGGCGGCTGCTGCTTCCCGCCCGCGCCGCTGCTCGCTGCGCGCCTGGCTCCCGCCGCCGCCGCTGCCCTCAGTGGCTGCGCTCCGGGCTCCGCCGCGCCTGGTGCTGATGCTGAGGCTGCTGGAGCGGGGCGAGGCGAGGCGAGGCTCAGCCCTCACGCGCCAGCGCCTCCCCTCGGCTGCCCTCTGCTGGCGGGAAAGGGTCTCTCCCCGCCCGCCACTCACTCTCCTCCACTCTTGCTCCACTTCTGCCCAGCGTGACATTGAACTCAACAGCCCTTGGGGACATTTATTTGGACTTGTTGCGAGGGAGACTTGGCATATGTGTGTACTAGAGAAGATAGGGTAAGGGACGGACACACGCACACACACACAGAGCTTAAGCTAGTGAGTTCGTCCAAACGAAACAAATACCCTAAAACTCATACACTGTCTGAACGCCTGTTTGAACGATGATACAGATGGGGAAAAGCGTGAGACTGATTCAACACCCCCGAAAATTACGCTTTATGCTAGGAGCACATAAGAAATTCAGGTTTGACAATAGCAAACAAGTTTCATGAATAAAAAGGCAAGTGACTGTGTGTGTGTGTGTGTGTGTGTGTGTGTGTAAGAGAGAGACAGAGTAGCGCCTGCGCATACACAGAAAGAGGCAGACGACCAAAGTGACTAGGTCTTTGCAACCCTGGGCAATCAGCGGCTTGGGGCTTTTCAGATTAAAGCTCTGCGCCTTGGAAGGGACAACTGACCTCCTTCCCCTTATCCTTGTCTATTTTCGCGCAGATCCTTAAGCAGGGGACGGAATTTCTTTCTTATCAAGGTTTACTTATATCAACTCACATGTGAGTAAGTCTATTGGTCACCAATAGCGAGAGGAAATGTGTGACAGAGACTGTGCCTGAACTGACCTATCTCTTAAGATAAGTTATATAATCAATAGAACACATTTAGAGGCATGTGTGCCGGTCAGGGTTCACTTAGTTCATGTAGGAAGTAGAGTTGTTTCCGGATTTGGTCAGAATATAATCATCACTTCAGGAGAGGGAGCATTCTCAAGTGAAATTTACAGCATGCAACTCATGCTGAGGAAAGCATTCTCAGAATCCCTCTGTGTCTTCCAAACCCACTGGATTAGCTAAAAGAAGCAAAATGTGCTGCCAAACTCACCAGTCACTCAGCAGGGCAGCCTGGAAGTCTGAAGAGCTTCAAGACTCATGAATGTCCCAAAACATCTGTTCCAGATACAAGCCTTGCCTCCCTGCCCACAGCCTCTTCAAAGGAAATCTTGCCTTGCCAACAGTCCCTGATCCTCTGGGTTCTTGTCATCTACAGCCACATTTTTTGGAAAGTGGGTAGACACTTCAGGAAGGAGAGGTTGATCAGCCTGGCAACAATGGCCTAGCATTAAAAAAAAAAAAAAAGAGTAGGGTCAATCAAGGTATTTTCCTGAAAAATTGTGCAGTGGTGAAGCCAGTTAACAATAAGAGAGACGAGAGAAAAAATAAAAAAGACAACTGAATGCTTTGGTGAGGGGTTAACAGATGTAGAAAAGGTAGAGAGAAGCAGAAACAAGAAATCTTCAAGCCAACTCAGTTAGAATTTTGAAAATTTCCCTTACCATATTCTAATACTATAGTCTATGCTAAATTTCTTTTCCCAGTACGCTATGCCCTGACTCAGACACCATCTGTTTTCAACTAATCAAAATCCAGAACCCCCAAAATAAGTATAAGTGGCCAAATTCTAATGGTAAGAAAAAAGGGGAGAGCTCCGATCTTCCAAAGTAAGCACTTGGAAATCCAAGAGGTGAGATGAGGATACCAGGTGTGGAGGGTTGCAAAAAGTCATAGGATGAATTAAAACAAACCTTGATTACAGCAGAGTTCTGCTTAAGAAAGGCCCAAGTGCTCCGGCAGCTTTTCTCCATTAGAATGAAGACATTTCTTTATTTTCTCCCTTTCTGCATGTTCCGCAATCTCTCTATTTTCAGTCATGAGTGTGAAAATGTATATTTTAACATAAATTTTAAATTTTATAATAATGTAAAAATATACTATCTTAAATGTTATGCTGACTGAGTTTAAGTAAGCTTCTCTTTTCTTTTAGCCAATTCCTCTCTTTGTTCTATTTCAACTTCTTCATAATCATGACCAGGCAGTTATTTTAGTAAAAGTTTTTCTGAGTTTCAGTGTCTATACCAATATGACAGAATTAGCAAACAACAAGATATCAAAATAAAACCAAGAAATGTCTAAAAAGGATCATAAATCATTGGTTCCTCCAAGAATTTCATTTTATTTGTCCTAATTCTCAAAAAAAAAAAATAGATTGTTTTTCCAATTTGGGAATGAGTGTATTTTATCAGTGTATTAACTTGAAGTTGTTAGCAATATATAATATCAAGTGCCTTCACTTTCAGAGTGTTGACTTAAAGCTGTTTAATATATGGGTTTACATAACAAAGTTGCTTGGGAAGAAGAAAGAACTTGAAAAAAGATGGTGTAGAATAAAAGCAATAAAAGAATGGAAACAATGAGAGAAAAAGAAGCAGGGAGAATCATGAACAACTTGGGGAAAATTGCTTTGTATGTTTCAGTCCCTTCCTTCACAAATTACCTTAGGATAAAATCCACCGAACTAAACAAGAGAGTTTTTCAAAACCATCTCAGAAATAGGACTACCATCATCTGTCATTAGATGTCATGATGTCAAAGTACCTTGTACTTCAGAGGAACCCGATTTCTGAGAACTCATGAGAGAATATCTATTATGATTTTATTTCATAAGAATGTCTCATCAGTATTTGTAATGACTGCTGTTCAGTATATTCAAGAACTGTACATCTTTTAAAATGTTCCCTGACTCCTTTAATACTCAGCTTAAGATCAAATTGCAGACAGCAGCAGAAGATTAATATAAATCTAAAATAAAATTTTCATGCAGCAGACGCAAGCACATGTGAAATGAGACAAAAAAGATAGATGAGTGACTTGAAGTTTGACAGCTTATTGGAAAATTCTCAGTGGAACTTAAAGGTTTAAGGGATAAAATGTTATAGTCTTAGCAGGACAGGAGAATATGTTAAAACACATATTTCACATGCAAAGAAGTAAGGTCAAGACCGTCTCTGTTGAAGAAGGCAATGGTAAGAAACAGTGAAAAGATAGTTCAAAAACGGCAGCTGCACAGCCTCTCTGAGTCATATACACAGGTAAATTTGATTATCTATCTGTCTAGCAAATACCAACATCAGGCTTACTGTGAAACACTAGAGCTATTAATATCAGAACAAGACACTCAAATGCAGCATTTCTGTAAAGCATGTTATTTTCAATTGATAATATTGTTTCCCTGAAAGCCCGAAAGAATCAACTGGATAACCATCAATAAGAATAATAAAATTTAGAAACTCAGTAAAAAGCACACGTGAAAAAAATAATGTTTTTCCTAAGCATCAACAGTAGCCATTAAGACAATATAAAGAACAATGGTTTGTTTCTTGATGCCCACAACTAAAAATGAAAATGACAATTTTAAACTCAACAAGAAATGTGTGAGATCCATAGTTCAAAATACCAATTTTAATTAAAGACCTAAAAACATATTTGAATAAACTAGGATATGTTCCTTGTCCATTACTATAAGACTCAATATCCATAAAGAAAGTGGTTCTTTCCAAATTGGATCTTTTAATGTAAAGCAAAATTAGGCGATGTATAGTATTTTTTTTCTTGGATGACAAACATGACAAAATGTTTATAAGGTTCACTTGAATTAATTTATTATTTTATAAAATAGTCAGAAAGCTATAAATTAAAAATAAAAATAAAAATTACAGGTGTCACAAACCTGTAATCCCAATGACTCAGAGGTCTAAGGCAGGAGGATCACAAGGTAAGGCCAGTCTCAGCAACTTAGTGAGACCCTGTCTCAAAATAAAATAAAATAAAATGGACTAAGGACATGGGTCAGTGGTAAAGCACTCCTGGGTTCAATCCCCCTACCAAAAAAAAAAAAAAAAAAAAAAAAAATTTGTGTGTGTGTATACACACCTATATATATATACAAAATATGTGTATTTGAAAGTTTAAATTAAAAAGAAAATTAAGAAGAGATTTTCAAAGTATTAGAGCAGATAGAATCATAATGAGCACAGTAAAAGACAGATAAGAATGTAATAGAATGAAAATCAGAAACATATTCTAGTATGGTTTGCAACTCAAAGTTGTAATTTCTACTCAGTGAGTCAGAGTATGAGATATAAAATGCAATAGAATTGTTAAATAACCATTTGAGAAGTAAGAAAGGTAGAATATAGCTTCATATTATTCCTTAAAGTAAAATTAAGGTGACAAATATTATGATGCTAATACTAAAGACATGATAGGTAAACATGTATGTAACTGTTTATAAAAAAAAAAACCACAAACACTGGGCAAAACTTTAAAGTCATTTAAACAGAAAAACAAAATAAACAAAAAAACCATAAGGGGAAACATTGATTTGAATATATGCAAGTGCAAAACTTATGTTAAAAATAGTATAAGCATAATTATAGATAAAGAGAAAGTTAGGAAATACAACATCATAAAAAGAATCCATATCTTTCATCTATAAAGAGTTTTTAATACAAAGATTTATATGAATAAAAAGTTATTCATACACTTTTTATGTGTTTTACTTATACATCATATACATTTTTACATATAAAGTACATAAAGATTTTCTACTTAAAGGTCTTATATAAAGTTTAAAAAAAAGTTTTATATAAGTAAAGACAATATTCCAGTAGAAAAAAATAGCCATGAATCCATGATTCAATAGAGAAATTTTAATAAATATATAATAATGTCTAACACCACATGAAATCAAAGTATTTTA